TGCTCTCTTGCGATTTGCTCCCAGCAGAGGATTCCCAGCTCTTTTTAAGTCTATCCAACAAAGGTGATCAAGAACTTCACGTTTCACTACTCGTCCATGCTGTAACACTCATGACATTTAATTCACTGCCCCTTTTTTCGTCACAGCTACAAATTGCATGCATACATGGCTATTTGGCACTAAATGCATCAAGCAGGTAGATTGATGATGTCTGTCAAGTGACAACAGATATGGTGTTGAAAAATCAGCAGTGGGTCGTACGCAGCATTGCTCCAGGTTGTTGTGTCTCAGCCAGGAAAATGAGTATGGAGGTCAAGTTGAGGAGGAAGTGCTATTCACCTGCTGTTAGGATAGCTTTGATGGCATCTACAAGTGAGTATCACTTACACATATTTTAGGAAACAGAGTGACGAATTCTTAACTCCACGCTAGCCACCAACCGTATGGGAGGCCAAAGTGAGATCTGACTCAACATGAATGTTCACCTCGGGCGTCGTGGAGGCACCCGACAGGATCAGATATCTCACAAGATCTGTGTGTCCGTAGAAAAACAGCACACCTTCAGGGTGTGAATTGTATGTGATTGAAGCTATCCATGGGGATTCCAGGCTGCAAGTGCAGATACACACAATTTGTGTTAGGTATACCTGCCACCCAGTGGAGTGTCATGTTATCTTCTGCAGATGTGGCAGTGACTGACATACCATGATTGCGGATGACGTACATTGCCCGATCAGGACCACACGTGGCGGCCTTCAATAGAGGCAGCTCACCATCTTTACATCAAGTCACGTGCAAATAAAAGGATAGAGTCTGCTAACAAAATAAATGTCACATTTGTCACAATGTGTTCAGGTCTTCCTTTTTAGTGAGGGGTTTGACAAAGACTGGTTGGTCACAAGACATGTTGATATAGGGCTACATTGCATAAATTACCTAACCATGATGAGTGATGAGTTGGCAATGGATGTGCACAAAGTATGTCCTAAATGGTAGCGGTTTTAACTTTATCGAACTTAGGTTTTAATGCTAAAATGTTAAAAACAAAGGAAGAAGAATGAACTAACAACAAGTTGAAGGAGGCAGGATTAATGGATTCGATAGCTTCTGTCAGTGCTCTCTGATAGGGAAACTGAAATTGTTTAACGATTCGAAAATACAAAATTTCATTAAAGACACCAGTTTTACTCTCTTAGAATGAAAAACGGTATGAAATCGGGTATTTTATTACTTTCGCGCATCTCAGGATGATTCATACTACCAAAACTTGCTCTGATTGTAAATTAGACCTGCATTCATTCAAGCTGTAATATCGGCTGTAATTTTTAAAACAGAAACTAACTGCATTTTTCATGTTCGTATTTAACAAAACACTGTGGAAAAATTTAAAGTGACGGGGACATAGCTTGTGGTAAATAATAGCCTCTTTCTCTTCCTGATTTACCGGATCACCATTTACTGTTATGAATGCCAAACAACCTTACTTCTTAATAGACACTTCGGTCTTTTTCATTCTGAAGGTAACCTTACTTCTCGGATTCCAAATTTACCATTTCTTGGCATATAACCGACCCTTTATTTTCTAAAGACAGGAATTGATGTCTGCACCTTGAAAAAGCGGGATAAACTGAGTTGAAATAGCACACGTCAGTCGGACTGATTATGGCAGGCTCGAAGTTCTTTGGAGATGACACAAATCATGTAAACAGGGTAATTAAGTGCACAAGAATTCGTCTTTATTGACAGAAAGGCCCTTCAAATAGTAGTCGAAAAATTGGATGATTTCAGTGTCAAAAGCAGTGGGTGGTGCCATTGATGAAAGATGGGGAATGCAACGACACGGTAATGACATGGAAGACGATCAAAGTGGATGTGCATACCGTGCTGGTATCCGGTAGATACTACTGGTTTTTGCTCGTTCACAAATGAGACGCCCTACTTTCCTACATTTGACAATTGCGTAACTTTGTTCACCACTACTGAGCCTCGAAATGTTGGTCACTACTCATTAATTGCAGTATTTTGAATTTTTACGTAAAAAATAGTTTAGCTGTGCACTTAGCAATGCGTCGCACAAATTGCCTGTAACGTAGTGGCCTAACCTACACAACTCTACACCCATTTCCTACTTTGTCCTCTCCTCCCACCCCCTTCTAAACTCTCCTCTCCTCTCACCTTTCTGCAACTGACGAGCCTCTGCTTCACACACGAAATAGTTTCTGCGGAGTGTGTTTATTAGTACTTCCTATTGATGAAAGCAAGTCAGTCAGCTTAAGGAGGAGATCCTTCACTTGTCTTCCTCTTCTTACTGTACTGATCTATTCTGCTCCACGGTTCAAAAAATCATCAGTTTGATTTCCTTTTCAATGTTTTCGATAAAATTTTTTCTTTTCAGTGACAACCCTTGCTTTGTTATCCAGCAATCAAAAATTCCACTCCCCTAATTTTGCATTTTTGGAGGTTCAATGCAAACAAACATGGAAGTGGCAATAACCGTGGCAAGGGAGGGCTACTGGGGTAAGGCGCATTTCTCACAATGGGCTCAGAAAAATCCTGCATGCTCTTTTCTACCTGGCAAAGGAACATAATGCTATTGCTGCTAGTGGGCAATTGCTTGTGAGTTTTAACCAACTTCCGAAAACTTGGTATCACTGAACTAATAATTGTGTATGCGACAAAGATTGCGACAGTTTGCAATCTTTCTTACCAATAAGGCAGAGGATGATGTGCTCCATTGACGGAATGGGCAATGTGGCTCGAATGCTGGCAGTGCATTGTGATCCAGTTTGGTCAACCTAAATGCGCTTCACCGGTTGACAGATTCAGAAACTGCCAACACTAAAGTAGTTCACCACTCTTGACGGTTAGGTGGCATTAATTAATAATCATAGTAGCTTATTTTGCTCTCAGATTCATTACTCCTATAAAATGTCACCTTGGGAGATCTCTGCGTACATCATATTCGGTCAAATCAACAGTTTGTGCTTTCCGCTTCATTATATCCATCTTTTTAAAAATCAAATAACAATCCACACTTTTAGAATACAAAAATAGGATATATTAGCAAGTACAAAATCTAGAAGCAAAGTGTATGGTGAGAGTTGAGAACTTTCGGAGACTACTTAGGCATACGAAAGTTAAATCCTTGACAGAGAAACTCCAATTTGGTAATTTATTATTAAAGATTTAAAAGAAAATCCAATAAATTACATCAAGAAATTATTACAAAGCATATCTGACCTCAAATTGCAACCCTTCCAAGGTCTCCACGCATACTTCAGCCCTACAATCGTGATGATAGTGTACAAGGTATTGCCCCACCTCATTCGACATAAGTAGTATATTTAGTGATACATAAGTGAGGCAAAAAGAGCTCAGTAAGAATGTAATAAAAAGTGGAGCAGATGATTGATATATCGTTCCAAGTGCTTCCAAAATATAAAGAGATAAGAGCAGAAGTGTGAAAGCGCAAATAACACAATCATGCAAAACACTGTTGGCAATGTGGCGCAAATGCCACACCTTAGGGTAAAATTGAAAAACTGAGAGATTCCATGTGTCCATGCCACACGGTCCTCAACCTGTTCGTCTACATAGTTTCCATCCATTGGTGCCAAGCTTACAAAGGTTGCTAACAATTCAAAAACGACTGCCTAACAGCAACAGTGCGCATTGTTTTCATATTCTAGCTAAAAAGTAGTATGTGCGCGCATATAGCAACACGTCACAAGAAGTGCTCTCTTTTCCATCTGTGCTTCTTCCGTCGAAGTTATTTCCAGTTTCATGTAATTTGAATACGGCTTTTACAAATGGAAAGGTGGGGAGTGAAAGTCATCTAGGTACGGAGGTTGTTCAGTCAATTCCGCCCTGTCCCAAAGGTCAGCGTTATGATCTGGTGCTTGTGTGTGCATGAGTGCATCACTGCAACACGTCTGAGTTAGTTGGGTTGTGAGGTGAAATGGAATAAGGTGAGGTGAGTCCGCACGTAACTGCTGGTGTTAGAAAGAGAAGGGAGCGGTGGTCCCACGTATTTTCAGTGTTGTGGCTGATCATGACACTGCTAAGATCGGCCAGAGGGCTCACAAATGCGCGCACTAGGACAATCACTGCAGAAAATGTCATTTAGACTGTGAGTTCTCTTCATTAAAGGGGTGTTTATATGGACAAACCAAAAAGCTTCCCTATTGCCGATATGCCTGATGAACTGGGATGAGATAAGTTGTGCCGAGAGGAGATGAGAAGAGTTAGAAAGAGAAGGTGGAGGAGGCTATTGACAGCATGCAGTGCTCTCAGATTCAATCACTTTTTATTCCCTTTACTCAATATGGTGCACTAGATCTCCCTAAAATGCACTTTAAGTCTATCCCAACGATCCCTGACCACTGAAAAGAAAAGCATCTCATTGACAAGTGCATATATCTCGGAGACAGTTCACGCACATAAATACAAGAAGGGTCACAAGCCCCTATTCTGAGCAGAAATTACGATTGCATAGTAGTGAATGAAACTGCTTAACTTTATCAATCAATCGGTCTATATGGCTTGCTGACAAGCTGACATGTAGAACTAAACTGCTCTCTTGCGATTTGCTCCCAGCAGAGGATTCCCAGCTCTTTTTAAGTCTATCCAACAAAGGTGATCAAGAACTTCACGTTTCACTACTCGTCCATGCTGTAACACTCATGACATTTAATTCACTGCCCCTTTTTTCGTCACAGCTACAAATTGCATGCATACATGGCTATTTGGCACTAAATGCATCAAGCAGGTAGATTGATGATGTCTGTCAAGTGACAACAGATATGGTGTTGAAAAATCAGCAGTGGGTCGTACGCAGCATTGCTCCAGGTTGTTGTGTCTCAGCCAGGAAAATGAGTATGGAGGTCAAGTTGAGGAGGAAGTGCTATTCACCTGCTGTTAGGATAGCTTTGATGGCATCTACAAGTGAGTATCACTTACACATATTTTAGGAAACAGAGTGACGAATTCTTAACTCCACGCTAGCCACCAACCGTATGGGAGGCCAAAGTGAGATCTGACTCAACATGAATGTTCACCTCGGGCGTCGTGGAGGCACCCGACAGGATCAGATATCTCACAAGATCTGTGTGTCCGTAGAAAAACAGCACACCTTCAGGGTGTGAATTGTATGTGATTGAAGCTATCCATGGGGATTCCAGGCTGCAAGTGCAGATACACACAATTTGTGTTAGGTATACCTGCCACCCAGTGGAGTGTCATGTTATCTTCTGCAGATGTGGCAGTGACTGACATACCATGATTGCGGATGACGTACATTGCCCGATCAGGACCACACGTGGCGGCCTTCAATAGAGGCAGCTCACCATCTTTACATCAAGTCACGTGCAAATAAAAGGATAGAGTCTGCTAACAAAATAAATGTCACATTTGTCACAATGTGTTCAGGTCTTCCTTTTTAGTGAGGGGTTTGACAAAGACTGGTTGGTCACAAGACATGTTGATATAGGGCTACATTGCATAAATTACCTAACCATGATGAGTGATGAGTTGGCAATGGATGTGCACAAAGTATGTCCTAAATGGTAGCGGTTTTAACTTTATCGAACTTAGGTTTTAATGCTAAAATGTTAAAAACAAAGGAAGAAGAATGAACTAACAACAAGTTGAAGGAGGCAGGATTAATGGATTCGATAGCTTCTGTCAGTGCTCTCTGATAGGGAAACTGAAATTGTTTAACGATTCGAAAATACAAAATTTCATTAAAGACACCAGTTTTACTCTCTTAGAATGAAAAACGGTATGAAATCGGGTATTTTATTACTTTCGCGCATCTCAGGATGATTCATACTACCAAAACTTGCTCTGATTGTAAATTAGACCTGCATTCATTCAAGCTGTAATATCGGCTGTAATTTTTAAAACAGAAACTAACTGCATTTTTCATGTTCGTATTTAACAAAACACTGTGGAAAAATTTAAAGTGACGGGGACATAGCTTGTGGTAAATAATAGCCTCTTTCTCTTCCTGATTTACCGGATCACCATTTACTGTTATGAATGCCAAACAACCTTACTTCTTAATAGACACTTCGGTCTTTTTCATTCTGAAGGTAACCTTACTTCTCGGATTCCAAATTTACCATTTCTTGGCATATAACCGACCCTTTATTTTCTAAAGACAGGAATTGATGTCTGCACCTTGAAAAAGCGGGATAAACTGAGTTGAAATAGCACACGTCAGTCGGACTGATTATGGCAGGCTCGAAGTTCTTTGGAGATGACACAAATCATGTAAACAGGGTAATTAAGTGCACAAGAATTCGTCTTTATTGACAGAAAGGCCCTTCAAATAGTAGTCGAAAAATTGGATGATTTCAGTGTCAAAAGCAGTGGGTGGTGCCATTGATGAAAGATGGGGAATGCAACGACACGGTAATGACATGGAAGACGATCAAAGTGGATGTGCATACCGTGCTGGTATCCGGTAGATACTACTGGTTTTTGCTCGTTCACAAATGAGACGCCCTACTTTCCTACATTTGACAATTGCGTAACTTTGTTCACCACTACTGAGCCTCGAAATGTTGGTCACTACTCATTAATTGCAGTATTTTGAATTTTTACGTAAAAAATAGTTTAGCTGTGCACTTAGCAATGCGTCGCACAAATTGCCTGTAACGTAGTGGCCTAACCTACACAACTCTACACCCATTTCCTACTTTGTCCTCTCCTCCCACCCCCTTCTAAACTCTCCTCTCCTCTCACCTTTCTGCAACTGACGAGCCTCTGCTTCACACACGAAATAGTTTCTGCGGAGTGTGTTTATTAGTACTTCCTATTGATGAAAGCAAGTCAGTCAGCTTAAGGAGGAGATCCTTCACTTGTCTTCCTCTTCTTACTGTACTGATCTATTCTGCTCCACGGTTCAAAAAATCATCAGTTTGATTTCCTTTTCAATGTTTTCGATAAAATTTTTTCTTTTCAGTGACAACCCTTGCTTTGTTATCCAGCAATCAAAAATTCCACTCCCCTAATTTTGCATTTTTGGAGGTTCAATGCAAACAAACATGGAAGTGGCAATAACCGTGGCAAGGGAGGGCTACTGGGGTAAGGCGCATTTCTCACAATGGGCTCAGAAAAATCCTGCATGCTCTTTTCTACCTGGCAAAGGAACATAATGCTATTGCTGCTAGTGGGCAATTGCTTGTGAGTTTTAACCAACTTCCGAAAACTTGGTATCACTGAACTAATAATTGTGTATGCGACAAAGATTGCGACAGTTTGCAATCTTTCTTACCAATAAGGCAGAGGATGATGTGCTCCATTGACGGAATGGGCAATGTGGCTCGAATGCTGGCAGTGCATTGTGATCCAGTTTGGTCAACCTAAATGCGCTTCACCGGTTGACAGATTCAGAAACTGCCAACACTAAAGTAGTTCACCACTCTTGACGGTTAGGTGGCATTAATTAATAATCATAGTAGCTTATTTTGCTCTCAGATTCATTACTCCTATAAAATGTCACCTTGGGAGATCTCTGCGTACATCATATTCGGTCAAATCAACAGTTTGTGCTTTCCGCTTCATTATATCCATCTTTTTAAAAATCAAATAACAATCCACACTTTTAGAATACAAAAATAGGATATATTAGCAAGTACAAAATCTAGAAGCAAAGTGTATGGTGAGAGTTGAGAACTTTCGGAGACTACTTAGGCATACGAAAGTTAAATCCTTGACAGAGAAACTCCAATTTGGTAATTTATTATTAAAGATTTAAAAGAAAATCCAATAAATTACATCAAGAAATTATTACAAAGCATATCTGACCTCAAATTGCAACCCTTCCAAGGTCTCCACGCATACTTCAGCCCTACAATCGTGATGATAGTGTACAAGGTATTGCCCCACCTCATTCGACATAAGTAGTATATTTAGTGATACATAAGTGAGGCAAAAAGAGCTCAGTAAGAATGTAATAAAAAGTGGAGCAGATGATTGATATATCGTTCCAAGTGCTTCCAAAATATAAAGAGATAAGAGCAGAAGTGTGAAAGCGCAAATAACACAATCATGCAAAACACTGTTGGCAATGTGGCGCAAATGCCACACCTTAGGGTAAAATTGAAAAACTGAGAGATTCCATGTGTCCATGCCACACGGTCCTCAACCTGTTCGTCTACATAGTTTCCATCCATTGGTGCCAAGCTTACAAAGGTTGCTAACAATTCAAAAACGACTGCCTAACAGCAACAGTGCGCATTGTTTTCATATTCTAGCTAAAAAGTAGTATGTGCGCGCATATAGCAACACGTCACAAGAAGTGCTCTCTTTTCCATCTGTGCTTCTTCCGTCGAAGTTATTTCCAGTTTCATGTAATTTGAATACGGCTTTTACAAATGGAAAGGTGGGGAGTGAAAGTCATCTAGGTACGGAGGTTGTTCAGTCAATTCCGCCCTGTCCCAAAGGTCAGCGTTATGATCTGGTGCTTGTGTGTGCATGAGTGCATCACTGCAACACGTCTGAGTTAGTTGGGTTGTGAGGTGAAATGGAATAAGGTGAGGTGAGTCCGCACGTAACTGCTGGTGTTAGAAAGAGAAGGGAGCGGTGGTCCCACGTATTTTCAGTGTTGTGGCTGATCATGACACTGCTAAGATCGGCCAGAGGGCTCACAAATGCGCGCACTAGGACAATCACTGCAGAAAATGTCATTTAGACTGTGAGTTCTCTTCATTAAAGGGGTGTTTATATGGACAAACCAAAAAGCTTCCCTATTGCCGATATGCCTGATGAACTGGGATGAGATAAGTTGTGCCGAGAGGAGATGAGAAGAGTTAGAAAGAGAAGGTGGAGGAGGCTATTGACAGCATGCAGTGCTCTCAGATTCAATCACTTTTTATTCCCTTTACTCAATATGGTGCACTAGATCTCCCTAAAATGCACTTTAAGTCTATCCCAACGATCCCTGACCACTGAAAAGAAAAGCATCTCATTGACAAGTGCATATATCTCGGAGACAGTTCACGCACATAAATACAAGAAGGGTCACAAGCCCCTATTCTGAGCAGAAATTACGATTGCAT